TTGTACCCACCATACATAAGCGCGAGGTCAGTTACCGATTGGTAACCTTACCATCGACTGACCTGGCAATTTTGTAACCGACCTCGCTGTTTTCGCGCTACCCCATTATGCGCTTCTTAGATGAACAGGAGATGGGTCTTCATTGACAAGGTAGTGGCTGACATTGCCATGGTTGGTGTTGACATATTCTTGGACAAGAACAGCAGCGGCGGTACCACAAACCTTCCAATGTTGGCGGCACTGGTATGCATGGCTCTTTTGGGTGGAAGCGCGCTTGGTACTAAGAGGATCCGTTTCACCAGATGGGGTGGCAAGATAGTTGTTGCATCCAGAACAGGTGTACCTGGCGGGCAATGGGAAGTCAGTGCAGAGAATAACGAAGTTTTATTATTTAGGCTGCACCTCAATAGACCACCCGCTGAACAGAGCCATATTGAACCGGAGTACCTCAGACGTACAAGGACGCCCACATAGGAACCGGCCTAGTGGGAAGTCAGTGCAATACTGCATGAAGCGAAGGCTCTTGTAGCGAGCATCATGGAATGCGGCAACAAAGGGAGGTGGCTCTTCATCATCTTCGCCACTGCTGGAACTCGAGGTACTCCTCATGGAGCGGTTGGATGCCATCTTGATCAAACCAAAACAAAGGAAAGAAGGTTAGATGAAATCAAAAGAAAGCAATGACAATTAACAACAGAAGGAGCGGAGAAAACACCATAGCTTCTGCTTACCTTTTTTGGTTTTCGAAAGCTGGAATAATGAGGATTGTAGTGGCATTGCTGTTGGTCGGAGGTAGTTGGATGGAGTTGTTGACAACAAGAGCCAACAGTTTGGTTTCTCTTAGGACTGCATGTTAACGGTTGGTTCGTATTGGTTTTACGTCTCTTTAGAAAAATCGCACACCCTCTCTACTGTATCACATGGTATAAGAATGGGATTCACGAATTGAAATTTCCAAAGACGGGCAATCTGGGATTGATTTGACCGTTGTCACATGATTTCTGGGTTCCGATTTCTCGAATTTTTCGAATATTCGCCTTCCGAATGCTTCCGAATAGAGACAAATAAACCGTCTCCAAATACCTTTCGCGAAAATCACAAACACTCCTCAGCGTGGAACCCTCTTGGATAATAGATCTAAACATATAAGACTAGGCTACCTTGGTACTCCTTAAACGCTCAGGGGTGTTTGGGTGAATTTAGCGACTGGCCTTTGGCTAACTGATTATCGAGCGTTGAAGCACGTGGAGAGCAAGCCGTGCCAGATCGATAAATGTGTGAGATCTGGGGGTCATAGAGTCTAATCGAATCTTTTAAATCTTTTCGACTCGACTCGACTCACTCGACTTGATCGTATCCACGGCTGGATCCTAATGTCCTCGTTCCCTTTGAATAATTCACACGGAACACAATTTTTGCGACATGTTGTCTGGGCTTGTGCGGTGCTGCTACCGTACCTGGTAGTTTTTATCTTCTTTCAGTAGTTATTTCACTAAAGTCAAGTGCACGATGTCAACCATAAACCACCATCATCTCTACCGATCTGCAGAACTGTTGATTTCCATAGTTGTTGCAATTGTCCTGCCCATTGTATCTGTTGCGTACGGCAACAAGTCCCAGGCAACGGACCAAAACAAAGAATACAATGAATTCTCATTGTGAGTGCAGGCATTCTTGGCCATGTGTGCCGGAACAACGGCCATCATGATAATTCATTTCATGGCTACAAGAATTGTGTCACCAATGATACAATCTTTCATGATGCACCAATGGGGAGAAAAAACAATCCAATCCAAGATTGTGACACGAAAGTCTGGGATAATTAAAAAAGGAATCGGTTCTGGAGACCACTATTTCTACTACGATGTTCCCATTCATCAGGCCACTGTACTATATCGGACAGCTTCCATGACAGCAGATATTGCCATCCGGAAGGAGTTTGCTGTTGTTGCTCATGACACACTAAACTTGAGCCATCTACGTGCGGTACATTGGATGCCATTTCTGTGTATTGCAGAAGAAACTGGAACATCTCCTGCCTGCACCATCACTGTGCTTTTCATTTCTCTGTCCAGGGTTCTCTTGATTTGTGCTATGCTGTTTTCATCCTTGACGTTGTACAGCTTTGCGCTAGATCAAGCACATCAAGACTATGTCTACTATGATGATGATTCCAATGAAGATTTCCCGAGCAATGCGGCATTTTTGTTGCCGTGTAGTTTGGTCCTAGTTTCATTGTACATCTTGGGAACCTTTCTCAGGCTCTCTGCTGGCTGTGAGAGGGTGCATATGGTAGATGACGATGATAGCTTCTCTGCGGGTCAGCACTGTGCAGTGGAAGAAGATGAGACAGAAATGGTGAAGCTCACACAGCACAATTGCTCAACTTTGGATGCATGATGGTTGCCCCTCTCTTCGTTTTCAAACAACGCTACAGAAACAGAACTAACGCTACAGAAACACAACATGCAGCAGCAGCATAGCGTTGGTAGATGGCAATAAGACCTTCATTTACTGCTCTGATCGGTGGGGTTTCTGTGATGAGTTAAGTTTGATTATTTAATTCAACAAGAAGCTTCATGCAGATATCTCACTATTCATTCATGTTTTTGTTGTTGGTTCTAGCCACTGACCACTGCCGTCTTGGCAGGTGAGGCATACTCATTGCATAAAAGCGCCCAGGGGGCTCCAAAAACAGTCAGCCCTACTACAAAGTATCGTATTCCACAACACTAGCCCTCACAGTACAGAGACTGTGTCAATTTTGTTGTTGCATTGCATAGGCTGCAAAAATCAAGCTTGCAAACAATTTTCTTCTGCAACCATTTGCACTCTGCATTATTTTCTTTTCCTCCTCTTTTTCCTCACCACTGCAAGCCGGTGGCCTTTGGTGATGCTGCCGCGGCTTCTTTTTTGACTTCTGAATTTCCATCTTTGCTCTTACTCTCTCTGGTACGATGCCGACTGGAGGGTCCTTCCTTGCCCGGTCCAGCACCCTTCATTTTATTCAATCGACTCATGACTTGACTGGATTGTTTGGTGAGATTGGGGCGCTCTGCTTTGAGTGACTTGCTGCGTGTCACTCCACGGGCCGCGGTACGAGCATATTGTTGATCTTCCTCTGGTAATGCCGAAGACTCCTTGGAGTTTGGTCGTCGGGGTGCACGACGCCCCTCATCTTTCTTTTCTTCGTCATCTTTATCTCTTGTCAAGGAAGCACCCGACTTTTTATCCCCCTTGAAGGATTGAGAACGCCGCAACAACTGTACCCTTCTGTCACCCGTACTTTCTCCCATGGCTCTCAATCGCCGTGCTCGATTGCTGGCAATGGCTTCCTTATCCAATTTTGTCTTGGAATTTTCCCGACGGGGCATGCGGGGTCCACCGAGCGATCGCATGGAATTGTGACCACCATCAAAGGTTTTGCTGCGTGGGGGTGGGCGGCGGCCTCCTTCTCGTCCATGATGATGATGAGAGTCGCGTCCTTGACCACTGTGACTTCCTCGTAGGTGATCCTCTTGAAAGGATTTGGATCGTCGTGGAGGTCCCTTGCCATGGCCTCCTCCTCGTCTGTGACGGTGATTGTCTTCTTCTTCATTGTTTTCTGCTTCACTGTATTCACCATCACTTCCTTCGTACTCTGAATCAATATCTACGCTGATGGCGACACTCTCGTCATCTTGCGAATCATAGTCGTCATCGCCTTCGTTGGAATACCCGTTGGGCATGCGGTAAGCCATGGTGAATTGATATTTCTAACTACCAATGGGTGTGTCTTCGAGGTTGTTATTGTTGCTCTTGAGCACTCTTCTGCCACCAATCTTCTGCTTACTCTTTTGATAGACACCAAGTAAACCGAATAATCTCTGGAATCAGCACCTTCCAGATCACAGCAAGGAGGTCCAAAATCAAGCGCTACAGCAAACAATCCTCGCGAGACTCTATGCTTTAGCTGATGCCTTGAAGAACAGTTTTGTGAGGCTTGGAAGGAAGACAAAAGAGGTTCTACTATAGCTGCCTTATTCTAGCAAGAAGAGTACAATGGCAGAGCATCTGACTGCTTTAGTGCGAGAAGCAGGGTATCGATCGAGGTGGGTTGATGATGGTGGTTGTGGTGGAGGGAGGCGTGGGAAATGGGAATGTCTTCACTGTGACGCGCACTGTACTCGGGTGCCGATGACCTAAATCCAAGGATTCCCACATGTTTTTTAGTCCTCATTTCTACCCAGTATGACTCCTCCAAAAAGATCTCGGATGGTCGCAGGGCCTAAACTCAACTCTGCCGATTGAAGGTGATTGACAGAGTGCTGACAGTATCTGACCATCTTCTCCTTACAGGCCTCTCGACCCAGCCAGACATAGGATGTCCCACAAGGAGGGGACGGACGAGGACCTTCAACTAAAGCTGTATTGGTGCGAATTGCCTCGTTGCTTCATCTAGATAGTTAGTAGAGAAACTCAGTGAAAACAGAGCTGTGGTACAGCCCAGCCCGTACTGGTAGCTGGTGAGAGTTCGGAGCTGTTCCGGGCGGCAAGTGGGCGTGGCGCGAGGCTCGAGGCTCGAGGTGGTTCATGTGAGGGGGGTGAGCTATTTCGCTTGAAGGAAACTGCTGTAGACGAATGAAGACTAAGCGAGCTCAGTGGCAGGCAGGATCCATGAAGAAGTCGCCCCGGCATCCAAATCGTTGGGTTGTACCACCACCGCACACATACCCGTACACGAGCTGCATCATCGTACGGTACTGTCGCCTTACCGGTACCATACGGCATAAAAAGCAATCGACCAACATGACAGCTTCCAATCACAAGGGGCGTCATTACTAGTTTCATTACACTGGCCTGTTTAGTAGATCGACTCCACTACACCACAGATCAAGTAGACCTGTCGATCTCATTGACCCAGCAGTTCAGTTCAACGCAGCCAGCCGCACAATGGACCAGGTTAGCTAGTTCCAGCACTACATTCCCATCCGTGCTGTGGCTGGGCTCGGTATCGTTCTTCGTTCTTTGCTGGAGCTTTGAGCATCCTCCTTCAATCTTCAAAACAAGAGCCAAATTGTGACGTTTTCTCGTTCTTTTGTTCCACTCAACAAATATATGCACAAAGCACTTTTTGACAACTCGATCCTCAAAGGATGATGCACGACGAGGAACTCTGATTAGTATGAACGTGCTCCTCCTCTACGACTGCACGCTTGGATCGTCGGGCCTTCGAGCTGGACCTCTTGCGCTTCTTTCCTTTAGAAGCCGCAATTTCGTCCTGGATATCCGACAGCTGGTCGGCCAAACCAGAAAGGGCAGCTGCCACATTTGGGTTGCTTCCTCCTTCGTGAGAAGGTTCGCCGGAGTTTTGCGCGAGACAACTCTCGCCGCAGTGGCGGTTTGCCGCATTGACTGGACCCGAGTTGGAGTCGTTGTTGCTTTGATCGAGTAAATCGACACGGAATTGCAGCTCGCAGCTGAGTTGTCGCTCTTCGGAAAGGGCTTTCTCAAGTCCCTCTTTTCGACTGCGTAGGACCCAGTTGTCGAACGCCAACGATTCATACTTGCCTTGAGAAGCTTGGAGACGTTTGTTCAAACTGGCCACCTCTTGTCGGCGAAGAAACTCGGCATGATGCTTCTGCCTGTATTTGCGAAGACTTGGAGGAATGTCTGGTGACATTTCAAAGGGTTGCCACATGGAATGGCGAGGGTTCCAAATCACCGTTGACGTTTTTACGAGTGCGCCCTACGTCCAAAAAAACTCCTCCCTTCTTTTCGTCACGTTTTCCGTCGGCGCTGTCGGACACGTCGTCTCGAAGTGACCCAGAGGCAAGAATTTGCCTGTTGGCCAAGAATGTAACTCGACCAGCCAGTTGAGGATTGTTGCCATGCTTCGAGTCGTCGTCCCCATCCTCGTCGTTGTCCCAAACGGTTACAGCCCCACTCTTGGACAGTGGGCGGCGTTGAGAAGCTTCTGATTCATCGTCCATATCATTTAGAATGACATCACGGTAGGCAATGGCGCCGCCTTGGGGGACGCTGTCCCATTCAAGGCTCATGGTGGAGCTCGATCGTTGTGTGCCTCGAAGCTGCCTCGAATTCAATCAATTAATTTGTGGCTTCGTTTGCTTCGTGAGTGACAGTCGGCGACTTTTTTTCTGGTTCTCTTTGTATTCGACACAAAATTAAATGATGAATCGAATCGAATTTGAATCGAATCGAATCGAATTCGACACTTCTGACTTCTGACCCCACGTTGAGACGTGCATCCAAGGCGACACAGAGACACAAGAAAAGCTTCTCGTTTGCTCGTCTTCTCTTCGACCCTCAATGGTGTCTTCGTCAAAAGACTTCTTGAAATGAATACTAACGCAAAGCAACAATACACCTACCGATCAGAAGACTGGCCGTGGGTTTGGGCCATCCGGAATCCGGAAATACTCGATTGCAACAGGGCTCTCCAACAAGATGAGATTAGGACACTTGCTCTGATGCAGAACCAAATCCGATACGTTCCGCTCCCAGTTTCGGATAATCTGTTGATCGGATGTAGGCACAGTGTTCTCAATTCGGAAGTTCTAAAAGAAATGGGGATCACTCACGTCCTTAACATGGCTGGTCCCCACTGCAAACTTCCTGTTGAAGACTTTGTCAAGACTGGCATCGTTTACAAGGAACTTGATGCCCAAGACGACGAAGAGTACCCCTTGTTGGAATTGCATTGGCAGGAAGCAAGGGTCTTCATCAATGGAGCAAGAGAGAAGAATGGGAAGTGCGTGGTGAATTGTGGCGGTGGAATGAATCGGTCGGGACTGATTGTTGCCGCAGCAATGCTGTGTGAGGAGGACAAGAAGAGGACTGTGTTGGAAGTGGTCCGCGATCTTCGAAAAGTTCGGGGAAATTGGGCGTTGGCAAATGAGTTTTTCCAGGAGCAGCTTGTGGCCTTGGCGCGAAGCCACGGTCGTTTGGGACCCGCCCCTGGTGAGGATGGATCGTTTGTTGACGAGAGCCCCCCAGCAGAAGTTATGCGCGTCTCAGAAGCGGAGCAACCAGATGGGCTTTTGCTTCTCACTAATTACTAGTGCTTGCCGGGCGCTACTTATCTATCCCCTCTCGCTGGAGATACTTTCTTCGTAGCTTATTCAAAATTGACAACTAGCCGGCACCGACGAAGCTAGAACTGAGCGACACTATGTTGCGGGTCTGGGGATTGTCCCACTGGAAGAGGAGACGTCGTTGGTGTTGTCGCCTTTGAATGATGAAAACAGCGCCTTTTGTTGTGCATTGGAGTTCCAGTGAAAGCGAACAACAACGTCGAAGCATTACTGCGGGCCAACAAGAAGCAACTCCAAGCCCTCACAAGAAGGGGATAGTAACAACGAAGAAAATTGCCTTCATCGTATCATGCTGAATCCCAGCACATATCAAAAAGTTGGGTTCCATGGTACCGGTACAGTACACATCCAAGAGGACGCAATTCAATCTAAAGATTTGGCACAGGCAAGCCAAGGGAAGTACACCATGCAGAGCATCGGAAGCGGTGTCAAATCCCCGTGTACAAACGATTGACGAGGAATCCGAACCGGTCCAGACTGCCAATGCTCTCCTCGAGGTCCTTGTTGTGCAATGCATGTTGTTGGCGACCATTAGACTATCCCACGGTATGGTACTGGTACCGGTACCGGTACTGTAGATTGCCGTGAGGTACATGTATTGGATCCACTATTAAAATAGTGGCTTGGTACTAACCTCGGCAGTCTATCTGCCTGAGCCCTCACCCCCTTTTTTGGTATTTCCTATTTCCTATATCCTATATCCTATTTCCTATTAAGCCTCCTCGAGACGACGCACCTTTTGGTTACCCCCTCAGTTGCACTCCGAAATCGATTCGCCCGCGTTTACTGTGTAAATTAGAGTAGCCGCACTTCAGTTGCAGAATCAACGGTCATGTGTATCCATAAGTAACAGGTTCTCGTTCGATAAAAATAGATCGATTCGTGGATAAAGGAACCGTTGAAGTTACTAAGGTTAAGGTCGATCGATTCGAAGTACCAGTACCGGTATCTGTTATCAAGCCTGATATTGAAGGTACAGCGCTGACTTCTCTCCCTCATTGAATTTCTATGTTAAACAGGAGAGAATTCCAAGCTCGGCCGTCAACGATCGATCGATGGCTACTACTACTACTACGGGTAAGTCTATTATCAAGAGTGTTAATTGAAGGTACAGCGCTAACTTCTCTCCCTCATTGCATTTCTATGGTATTCAGGAGATAAATCCGAGCTTGGCCATCAACAGGTGAGTTCTTTAATTATTCGAGTCGATCGATCGCACCTCTGATTCTCTGTCATCCAAGCCTCACTAAGCCGGTCGTCTCCGGTGTAGAAGCGAAAGCCATCCCTCATTCAATCCTATGGACCGCGGGGAGGCAGTCAGTTCTCGGCCCATGACGGCCAAGTTGGTGCAATTTGAAAAGCAAGGGTAAGCCGCTGGTTTTCTTCAGTACCAGAATAGAAGAGAAAACCATATCTATTCTTACTTTCTGTTCTCTTACTGCCGACTGCCGATGAAATACCATTGTCGAGGTCGAACGAACGATCGATCGCTCCGGATAACAAGAAGATGAGAGGCTACCGCTACGGAGGAGGAGGCTCTGTTAACTCCAGCCCTACCAACAGCCTGAACAGAGGAGCCTATCGTCGTCGAGTCATTGAAAGGGAACAGGAGCGAGGCTAGCTACTCGACAACACACAAGAGAGTGGATCCTCCTACCGGATTCATCCCTTCTTCTTATTTCCTACTGTTTTGGTGGTAATTCCTGTGTCGGTACCCATTTTCCTGTATGGGCAAATCAAGTACTGTTGCCACTAGCTATACGGCAGCTAGCTACAATGGCTGGATTGACCATATTCCGTTGTGCGTGTATTCGTCATAAGGATCCAATGCGAGGTAACTGAGTGCAGCGAGCAAAGTCGAACCTGAGTTTTTTCGGTACTGTTGCCACTGTCACCGATCGATGAACTCTACGATAGCTGGCTACGATGGCTGGATTAACAATGTTCGGTTGTGCATGTATTCGTCATAAGGATCCAATGCAAGGTACATGTAACGGAGTGTAGCCAGTAAAGCGGAACCTGTGTGTTCGGTACTGTTGCCACTGTCGCGGATCGATGAACTCTACGATAGCTGGCTATGATGGCTGGATTAACAATGTTCGGTTGTGCATGTATTCGTCATAAGGATCCAATGCGAGGTAGTACCGGTAACCGTAGCAAGCAAAGCCGAACTTTCGGTACTGTTGCCACTGTCGTCGATGTAGCTATACCGCAGCCGGCTACAATGGCTGGATTCATAATGTTCGGTTGTGCATGTATTCGTCATAATGATCTAATGCAAGGTACCGGTAACGGAGTGTAGCCAGTAAAGCAGAACCTATGTGTTCGGTACTGTTGCCACTGTTACGGATCGATGTAACTCTATAGTAACTGGCTACAATGGCTGGATTGAGAATATTTGGTTGTGCATGTATTCGTCATAATGATCCAATGCGAGGTAGTACCGGTAACCGTAGCGAGCAAAGCCGAACTTTCGGTACTGTTGCTGACATACGCACGTGTGTGACGTGGCGTCCTAACGCTAGTTTTAAGTCTAATCTCACAATATTCCGATCGTAGTTCACTCTGAATTCAGAAGCAAGTTCGGTTGGAATTTGCACATCAAGCAAAAGAAACTTCCTGCGTACATTCTACGCAGCCGTGTACTAGGCGTTTGGCCATTGTCAAACAATTTCGAAAATTCGCTCGATTACTATTAACAACGGTAACTCAAGGGTGTAACTCAATACGAAGTTACTCCTTTTTCTTTCATTATCATTACTTGCGACTCTTACTAACACAAAGCCGCAAGTACTGTTGTTCGTTATTTCCTTTTAGGTTCATTATCTCACCATGACGACGCTTGGTCAGTCGGGCAAGAATCCGGTCATTCCCTTGGTCTCGGAGTACAATGCGAGCGATGTCGCTACTACTGTTGTTCCGTTCTTGGCAACATGCTGGAAACAACGTCAAGCGTAAGCATGATATGGTTGTACTGGCAGACGAACAAGAACCGGAACACGTCCTTCGAGTCATCAAGGAGTTCGATCAAGTGACCGGCAACTCAGCATTGAATTTGGATACCGGGACATTGAGGGCTAATGCAATACACGGCTCTTAGCCTTATTCGCGACTCGATCCTAGATAGGGTTTGAGTTCGACTCATGACTGAGTCTCTCGTGAATAGTCATTTGAGACAGGATTCTCAATGACCGCGCTAGTCATACTAGGTTGATGATGAAACATCGCTCTAGATATTTAGCCAGCGTGGAGTACTTCCACGCTACTAGATCCAGGCTAGACAAACCTTCCACGCGTTCCATTTTAGGATCGTGGAGAGACGTAGGATTACTACGGCAACCTACTCTATCACACTTTATAGTCTCCCACGGGAAGCCAGATCTACGATCCCTTGATGATGATCTCTCTCGTTGATTAGTTTTCATAGCTTTCTAATCTCTCTTATAACTTTCATTCTCTCAAACTCAAAACACTCGAAAGATCTTTACACTAGCTTTTAGCGTAGTGCATTTTGTTAACAAACACAATAGCTTCAGCTACCCTCAACCTATTCCTTCACCATGAAGATGGCTCAAGGAAAGCATGCGTTCCGCAACTTCGAGAAACAGTTGCGTAACAAACCCATTCTTCCTCTCGTCGACAATGACGAAGAAAACGAGATCGACGATACTCGTGCAACCACTTGCAAACTTCGCAACCATGTTGCCAAGCGCAAATCAGAAGACTCTGACAATGAGGACAACTTCTCTATCAATTTCAATCACTGGATGGAGAAATCTCTATCTGAGGATTAGGCCAGGATGATGACTCAACGGAACCATGTTCCGATTTCTCATACCAAAGTGTGAAGATATCTCACTAAACTAGTAAACAAGAATTGTTTGCAACTGATGAACTCTACGGCAATTAGATATTGCCTAGAAGTGCTCAAACTAGACTCTGATGATCTTTTAGCATCGTTAACCTCATCTCTCCTTT